GGTGGTGGTGGTGGTGGTGATGCTAAGGGGAGGTAAAGAGGCTGTAAGAGAGATTGTCAAGGGTAGACGGTGTTGATATTAAGGTGGGCAGGATATAAAGCGAGGCGTCTCCCTTGAACCGAGCGTATCACTCTTCATTCTTGGGATGAGGCTGAACGAGTCTCCCTTTTTTTTTATCACTAATTTCATCTCGCGCCGCAAAAGCCGGAATTAAGAATGCTGCGAGGAACTTTCTGCCGAGGATATTCGTCCAAAGGGATCCCGCAGCAGTTACGCAGTCACCAATAATTGTAACATGGTCCATATTCTCGACATGTTTCGGTCGTCGTTTCGACTATTTCCGGAATCATACCCAACTATGCCGCCACTTTTCCCCGCGATGTCTCTGCTTGATTGTGATATGGATGCACACACGGACCGAGGCGGGACATAAAATACTATGCAGAGACCGTGTCCTCCTCCTGTCCCCCCTCTGCAAGCCAACGCCACCATGTATAGCGAGACACCCAAAGTCCCCGAAATCCAGGATGCAGACAAGACCGAACAGGTCGTCGAAGCAGAAGTGGCAGTTCATCCCCCCGCCGATGTCGAACGGGCCGAGAAGGTACAGGCAAAGACATGGCTTGCCATCATCTGTCTCGGAGCCACGTATGGGTGCTGTCAGGGCATCAATCTGATCCCCCTCAACGTGGTCAATGTGATCCAAGCCGATCTGGGGAACCCGGTCCTTGCCAGCTGGATCGGTACGGGCTATTCGATTACCCTGGGAGTCGGAATCCTGGTTGCCAACTCTCTCGCTGAGTAGGGGCCTCGAATCCTTTTGAGCCGTACCATCTGGGTTTCTGACTGGAGTTTAGTCTTCTCGGTCGTCGTTGGTTCATCATATGTGGTGGTATTCTGACTGCCGTCGGTAACATTGTCGGTGCAACCGCGAGCAGGACATCTTCCGTGGTCGTTGCTACTTCGATCCTGGGGTTCGCCCAAGGAGGTGTCACCTGTACCATGTATAGCTGACTCTTCTGCCATGCCCCTCGAGGTGCTAACTAGAGCGACAGTCCCGCCGCCAGCGAACTCATCCCCAAAAAGTATAGAGGCTATGTGGTCGGGCTTATGAACCTGTGTCTGGGTATCTGGTCCATGTCTGGCAATTTGGTTGGTGCGTGGGCATCTACATGTCTTGATCCTTGTCCCAGGAGCTGATGATGAGGGGCGACAACGATACAGGTCATTCTCTTGCCGTGCATACAGGCCCGGGATGGCGGTCTGTCTTCTGGATGTCGCTCGCTATCAACGCAGCCGCCACGCTGGGCGTCTGCTTCACCTACTTTCCTGCACCTCCCCTAGCATCTTTTCGAGCCACGGGACAAACGTTCCTCAAAGCCATGGACTGGATCGGTCTGTTTGCCATCGTCACGTTTCAGGTTCTGGTCTCGCTGGGTATTACTTGGATCACCACGTACGGAGCCACATCGGCGCGTTTTCTGGCGGTCAGTCTTATGCAGTCTGCTGCTCCCTCGCACGCCGCGCAAGCTAACGTTCACAGCCGTTCCTCGTGGGGATTGCTGTCGCCGTAGCTCTGGGCTTCCACCAGGCCTATCTGGCCAAGAACCCGTTCTTACATCCATTCCTCTTCCGACGTGTTCGCACCTTTACCATGATGTGCGTCATCGCCTTGGTGGGAGGCATGCTCTTCTACTCGTTGTCCGTCTTCTTCTCCACTTACCTCGAGCTTCTGTTCGACGGGGACAATCAGGTCAAGATCGGCGTTGACAGTAAGATACCCTCTCTGACCCGCTCGGTGCTTCAGAGCTGAGAACCATAACTTTGTCACACAGACCTCCCCATGGCCGTCCTGGTCAACTTTGGCGGCGTCAGCAGCGCGCTCACTCTGCCGATCCTGGGTCCCCTCGTTGGAACTCGCGTGATGATGGTCGTTGGAGTCTTGTTCCAAGTCCTGTTCATCCCCCTGATGTGTCTTGTCGGAGTCCACGGCCGTTCCATGGCCCTGGCCTTCTCCGCCCTGGGCGGGTTCGGCATCGGAATCATGGAGACCCTAACAATCCTGGTGATCCAATATGCCTCCCCGGACGAGTACCTGTAAGTATTCATCAACAGGGCCATGATACGCGTGTTGGAGCGGGACAACTGACGTGTTGAGCAAGGGGCTTTGCCTACGGTATTCTTGGCCTGTGTCGGGGCATTGGCGGATCCGCAGGCACCGCCATCTACGTGACCATCTTCTCGAGCAAGTCTGCAACCCTGGTGCCCGAGAGGGTGTCCGCCGCCGCCGTGGCGGCCGGTCTCCCGCAAAGTTCCATCGCCCAGCTGCTGGGGATCCTCACAGGGGTGGTGAGAGAGCCGATCACGTCCGTGCCGGGCATCAACGCGCAGATTATCGCCGTGTCGACGCTGGCCCTGAAAAAGGCATATTTGGCCTCGTTCAAATACGTCTGGCTCACCAGCATTCCGTTTGGGGTTATTTCGCTGCTGTGCGCCCTCGCGACGAAGGATGTGAGTAAATGATGAGCATTTCTCGTTTGGAGAAGGGGTGTGCGGTTGTACGACGCAATATACACATGCTAATCTTTTTCGTCTCCTGCAGGTCTCGAACCAATTGACCAATGAGACGCCGCAGCATCTAGTCAATGTCGCTCAGTCGGGAGATGATGAAAAGATAACAAGTGCTTGACTGATTGCAATTGCTTCGGGGAGTGGAGGGGAGGAAGCAAGAGACACGCGGCTCGAAAGAGAGAGTTCAAGGCTCAAGAAATGCACCGGGGAGGGGAGGTGTGGCCCTGGTAGCCTCGTGAAATACTAGTCGCAATCAAGTCGGAGTGGCCGTTCCTATCTAGAGCCATGCAATGACTTCCACCTCCAGTAGTGGCTAATCTAGATGGCGGCATTACAACAATTCAAATAGCTTTTTGGCAGTAATGGTCGAGCACAGCCAGCCACTGACTGCTATTGATGCTGTCTTACAAACTCCACATCATTACTGTAGCTAGAGGAGCCTCCAATCCACAATTCACACTTTTCGGTACACATAAAGAAAATCCACCCCATTCCTGATCCCTCACACGACTGAGATCCGACCCCGAACAAGCGCAAGTCTAGTAATGGACAATGCCCTGCTCGCGGATCCGCACCCTCCAGATCCCCTGGACGCCCGTGACGAGAATCTCTCCCCGAGGGAGGAAGACCAGATTATTAAAAACTTCGCCCGCGGCGGTGATCTTGCCGAGCAGGTCGCCCTCGGGGGTGATGACGTCGATCCCCGACCCGGCCGCCGCGTACAGGTTGCCGGCCTCGCTGACTTTGAGGCCGTCGGCGAAGTACGTGTCGGGGACGTAGACGGTGCGTTTGTTCGCGAGGGTGTGCGGGTAGAGGACGTCGAAGGCGACGATGGCGTGGTTCTCGGTGCTGTTGTCCGGGCCGAGCGGCGTGCTGGTGATGTACAGCGTCTGGTTGTCGGGCGAGAAGGCGATCCCGTTGGGCCAGAGGATGCTCTGGTCGACGACGGACAGGGCGCCCGAGGTCATGTTGAAGCAGTAGATCGAGGGGGCGAGTTCGGGCGGGTTGTCGTATGTCCAGGCGACGTAGCTGAATCTGTTTGGTATGGGTCGGTCAGTAGCATAAGACAACTCAAGAGAACCGTGGGTGGCACAGGAGGAGGGGTCCGGGAGATGCTGGAGATAACTTTGTGTGTCAAATGGGTTGGTTGGGAGTTGATATAACCTACGGTGCATCCACGAACCACACCTGTCCGAGCTGGTCAACCACCAAGTCGTCCGGGGTCGACAGCTTGAGCCCTCGATAGTTGTTGAGCAGCGGCTCACTCCTGTTCGTGGCCGGGTCGTACAGGTACAGACCCGGGGGCGTCGAGTTGCGGTACCCATCCGTCCCCACGACCAGCTTTCCCTCGTGGATGAAGCCGCCATTGACAGACTCCAGCGGCGGATCCGTGGTGAGGTTCTGCAGCGCCGGCGGCTCCACGCTCAAGTCGACCAGGTACTCGTACGTGTGGTTGAAGTTGGACACGAAGACTTTATTCTGCGCGGGCAGAAAATTGGGGGCTTCGTGGACATTGTGTTCGGGGAGATCGAAGAGTTTTTCGAGGGTGGGATTGGGGCCCAGGATGTCGAAGAAGCGGCTGTCAAAGGCGACAAAGGATGCTTTGGCCAGAGTGGACAGCTCGCTGTTGACTCGTGGACTGGAGGTCACGGTGCCCCATACCTGCGCTTTGTATAGAAGGTACTTGTTCAGATACATGATAGACTCTAACGCCGCGGTCGAAGTGGGTGGGTGTTTTGGCCCAACTTACACATTTGACCGCGCTCGAAATAGTACGGAAGCGTCGCCAGGGCCTTTTGATTCACAAAGACAACCTCGGTCGAGTTGTAGTTGATGCCCGCTGGCAATGGGTTGAGGAGGGACGCCATGGCAGGCAACGCCGCAGTCTGGATGATGCCTCTGAGCGGCTTCATGGCGATGCTGGTTCTTCTCGAACTGCAGGTTCTGGCTGTTGCACGAAACGAGGCAAGGCAAAGACTTGTCTAGTTGCCTCGTAAAAGGTTGAGGACGACTAGAGTAGCTTCGTTTGTCTCTCCACTGGACACGCTGTGATGCCTCGTTCGGAATTTCGCAACAAAAAACACCCTCGGAACCTCAGCCAGGTGGAAGTAAATCGTCTCGGTGCTAGATCATTGGGACATTGGTCTACTGGTCTAATGGTCCAAATGGCTAATAAATGTTGTGACACTATTTCTTAAAAGTCCAATGTACTGCAACATTGTACCTGTGACTTTGCATATTCATATATCCATCGTATGCAAGGAACGACTCACTACCGACCCCCCTCTGCGACATTACTCAATCCAAAAACCCACAGCACAGATGGGAGCACGACGCACAAGGACGATCCCCGAGGAGGAACAACCTCTATTGAGCGACAATGCCACAGCTATCCCGCCAACTTCATTACCACCAGCCGAGGAAGCGACCAAGACCGAGCAAGAAGAGGTCGGTGGCGTGCGTCTTTACGTGACCATCGGAAGCATATGGCTTGCGGTCTTCTTCGCCGCCATGGGTATGTATACGTACCACTTGAGACCCGTGTCAAATCCTGCTTTGTTGACAAACTCTACGAGATTCGTCCATGATGGCAACTCTCACCACCCCCGTTGCCAACGAGTTCCACACCTTCTCCCTCCTGTCGTGGGTGGCTTCGTCCTATCTCATCGCCACCGCCGCCGTGCAGCCCCTGACTGGCCGACTGACCGAGATCTTTGGCAGAAAAGACGGCGTTCTCTACTGCATCGTCTTCTTCGGTCTGGGGAATCTCATCTGTGGCATCGCAAACAACACCTGGACGCTCATTGCGGGGCGTGTGGTCGCTGGTGCCGGCGGTGGCGGTCTGTTCGCTATCCAGACCATGGTGGTCACTGACCTTGTCCCACTTCGCAAACGCGGCGTATGGCAGGGCATTGGCAATATCGTGTTCGGCGGCGGAAGTTGTCTTGGAGGAGTGTTTGGAGGCTGGATCAACCAGACGCTGGGTTGGCGACCGGCATTTCTGATCCAGGTGCCCTTCGTCGTCGTCTCGGCATTCGTCGTGGCCATATACGTCCAGCTGCCGTCACCGCCACACAGCGACAAGAACAAGTTGGCCCGGGTTGATTTCCTCGGCGCCATCACGCTGGTCGGATCGCTCGTCCTCCTGCTATTCGGGCTCAACAGTGGCGGGAACCTCGTGCCTTGGAACCACCCACTGGTGCTCACCACGCTGCCGCTCTCGGCCGTGCTGCTGATTGCATTTCTCGTCATCGAGGAGAAATGGGCCGCGGAGCCACTCATCCTGGTCCGTCTCTTCTTGAATCGCACCGTCACCGCGGCGTGTGTGTCAAACTGGTTCGAGATGATGTCCCTGTACGGCATGTTCTTCTACATGCCCATCTACCTGCGCCTGAGGGGCCTCAACTCGAGCCAGCAAGGCTCCGAGCTGATCAGCCAGGGCACCGGACTCCTGGTCGGTTCGTTGGTGGCCGGCTTCGCGGTGAAGCGGACGGGGAGATACTTCTACCTCAACTGGATGTTCATCGGGTTCTACGTGGGCGCGTCGGTCTTGCTGTGTATGCTCGACATGGCATTCCCCCTGTGGGTGGCGCCCGTGTGCCTCGCCATGTTCGGCTTTGGGTACGGCGGCATGTTTGTCATCTCGCTGCTGGCCCTGATTGCCGCCATCGACCACTCGGAGCAGGCCATTGCGACGTCGGCGTCGTATATATTCCGCTCCACCGGGTCGACCATTGGCGTGACCATCACCTCTGCGGTAAGCTGCTGTGTCCCCGACTAACCACCGCACACAGGAAACCCATCTAACTGAGCTCTCCTCCCCACAAATCTAGGTCTTTCAAAACGTCCTCAAGGCCTCTCTGTGGAGTCGCTTCGGGAACGAACCCGACGCGGCGACCATCATCGGCCGGATAAGAAACGACCTCGACCTGGATCTGGTTCCTCGCAGTTGGCGTCACGGCGTCGAGGAGAGCTACATGGGTGCTCTCCGCTCCGTGTGGTTCACGATCCTGGCTCTGACGGTGCTCGCGTCACTCACCAGCCTGGCCATGAAGGAGTATAAACTGTACAATACGATTTCACGGCGAGAGGAGGAGGAGCAGCAGCAGTAGCAATGACAGACCGAGGAGGGATACGGGGAGCGTCAAAAGCACTGATTTGATTTGTCTGACCTAGTTTTCTGCCTCTGCATCATTTACTGTGAACCTAACGAGGTACATGCACTCAAACCCTGTAGAGCAGAGTAGTCAACTAGACACAAAATGTCCCCCCAGCACCGGTACCAGAGCATTTATTTGCCCTACACGAACAAACCAATCCCATATCCAGTCCATATATATGTTTCCTGTACGGACAATGGATGCCTGTGCCATCCCATCTCTATGCTATAATCTTCACTGTGGCTGACTTTACCACCCTTGCGAGTCCGAGAAGCCAATCGGAAATAAAAAGTGCGCCCCTTTTAGTTGCCGGAATTAGTCGTACCTCGTATACAACAAGATACGTACCTTGTCCAATACAAAATAGAGTTAAATTCCAGCGCGACTTGACTCCCCTCGTAGGTGGCAAGGGTGGGCCGATATACTTTAGCATTCAGTCTAGTCGTACTTGTTACTTTATAGCTCCGTGACTTGATTGGACCTCCCACCACCCCTATCCACTTGTAGTGCTTGTTCTAACCCCGCATGTCGAACTGTCGAGTCTGACGACGAGAGTCTCAAAAAACTCCGAAAAAGGGCTGAACAAAAAAAAAGGCCTCGACTCGACGAGACGGCGCCACCATCCCACGCCCCTCTTTTCACTCCGCGATTCTCAGCTCAACTTATCCCAGTCTCTGTCGATGGGACCTTGTTTGTCGTCCTCCACGATTGTCCGGTTCTCCCCCGTGGGGTGCTAGACTGGACTGGACTGGGCACGGCACGGCACAGTTAGGACGGGGGGATTCTCCCCATTGAATTCCAACCCCAGATTTCCCCCCTCCCTCGACACGCAAATCCAGGCTCTCGTCATCCCTGTGGGAATTCTAGGAATTTATCTGTAAAGGAGAGACAAAGAGACAAAAGAGACGAGACAAGACGAGTCTTGTAAAGCTCCGCATTTAAAAAAGCTGATCATGTCCTAAAAAAAGTCCCGGCCACAGGTTAGTTTGGGCCCTCCTCCCTTGCTCCCTCCCTCCGTCCCTCCCTTCCTCTACAAACTATTAGTCCTTGTGACAACACCCCCTCCAAAAAAGATCTATCATGGAGTCTGTTCAGGAAACGTCACCGCCTCATCGCTGGGCGGAGAAATCTCAAGAGGAGCAGCAGATCGAGGTCGTCAAGCACGGCGGCGGCGGCGGCAGCCCCGGCGCGAGCGACGTGGAAAGCGCCGACAGCGAAGAGAAGGATACCATCTTCTGGGATGCCAGCACCTGGATCAACGTGGCCGCTCTGGTCACGGCGTACATCTCCAGCACCTATGCGGCGACCGTGCCGACCGGGGCCATCGCCTACATCATCGCGAACTGGCCGGCCGAGGCGGGCAGCGCGCCCTGGATCGCCACGGCGCTGACCCTCGTCGTGACGGTCATCGTGCTGCCGCTGGGCGAGTTCATCGACATCTTCGGGAGGAAGCGGCCCTTTATTCTCTCGTGCGTCGCCGGCCTCGTGGGATCCATCATCACCTCGCGAGCCACCAGCCTGCAGATGGTGATTGTCGGGCAGGTGTTCAACGGCGTCGGGCTCGCGGCGGGTTATCTGATCCAGCCGGTCCTGTATGAGATTGTCCCCAAGAGACACCGGCCCCTGACGGGCGCCATCACCGGGATCTTCTGCGGCGGTGCCTACATCCTGGCCCCGATCGTCGAAGGGATTGTCATCAAGAAAGAAATCGGGGGCCCGCTCGAGGGCTGGAGGGCCGGTATCTACGTCAGTGCTGGTCTCTATGGCCTGGGCATGATCGCCCTGCTGGTGGGATACTCGCCGTCTCCACGCACGCTGGGCGTCAACCTGTCCACCCGCCAACGCCTGAAGAAGATGGACTGGATCGCCATCTTGCTCCTGATGGCCGGCCTCACCATGTTCTTTGTCGGCATGGGCATCGGCGACGTGCTGTATCCCTGGAAATCGGCCGCGCCCATCTGTCTCCTCGTCATCGGCTTCGTGCTCATCCTGGGCGCGGCCTTCAAAACGTACAAGAACAAGGACGGCCTCTTGCCCCACAGCCTCTTCACCCACCGCAACTTCGCACTCAGTCTCGTCGTGCGGGCCACCGGCTCCTTTGCCCAGCTCGGCTGTCAGGCCTACCTCCCCCAGGTCATCGTCTACCTGTTCGAGTCCGACGGTCTCCTTCAAGCCGTGTGGACGCTGCCGTTTTCGGTCGCCAACATTGGAGGAGCCCTCGTCACAGCCGGGGTGTTTTGGTACACAAAAGAAGGACGTTGGCTGGCCGTCGTCGCCATGGGGACGCTCGCCATCGGCGCGGGCACCATGACCCTGGTCAAACCGACCTGGTCGTTCGTGCAGTTCATGTGGCCGCCGCTGATCATCGGTCTCTCGGTCGGGACGGAGGCGCAGGTACTCAACATCATCGCCGCGCTGGCGACACCGGACGAGTACGTCGCGACCACGGTGGCCGCGACGACCCTGTTCGCCTGCGCCGGATCCACCATCGGCATCACCATCTTCGGCCAGATCTTCAACTCCAAGAAGAAGAAGTACCTGCCGCTGTACGTGGCCGAGGCCGTCCTCGCCGCGGGCCTCCCGCAGACGAGCCTCGAGAGGTTCTTGACCGCCATGGCCACGGCCAGCGACGCCTCGGCCTACGCCGACATTCCCGGCGTGACCCCCGCGGTGCTCAGCGCCCTGCAGGTCTCGACCAAGGACGCCTACGCCAAGAGCTTCACCTACATCTGGTACGCGCTGCTCGCCTTTGC